TCGTGAACAAGATCCCCAGATACTTAAACTCCTCCACTTGAGACAGGGCGACCCCCCTGACCCGGAGAAGGCACTCTGCCCTTTTCCGGCTCAAAGTTCTCCTTTTTAAATTTAATTGGTGCATTTTAAGTGCATTTATTTATTTATTGGTCCATTTCTATATTTCTGCTTTTATTTCTAATATGACAGTTTTGGTCTTCCATACCCTGCTGGTACCTGGTGAGGTGAAGAACACGGCTCGCAGGTCTTCATTGTGGGCCACTTGGAGAACTTCTGCTGTGACATTCACTCGCCTGCCAGCCACCGGAGGAACCCTTCGGAAGTCCAGGATTCTAAAGCAAGAACGCATTGTTATCTTTTTCATCTTGTTAGACTGGAATTTGTTCTTATTTCAAGAAAACTTACTAAGTGRAATTGTTTTAATYCATTGGCAGATTATTTCACTTAATCTGAGTCTGAGTCTTCTCAAATTCATCAAATTAAGTGAAATAATCTGCCAATGAATACGACAATTACAAATCTTCAAATAAGGAAAATAAAGAACACATTGKGCTCTTGTTTAGTATGTAAGTCTCACAATGAGATAAAAAAAACTTTTTAGCTAGATATAAAAGAAAATGTCAGATAGAATAAGAATTATCTGTTCAAAAAACAAAGGTAATTTTTTTTTCTATTTAATTTGACTGGTTTGTCAGAAATGCAGCTTCCATCATGTGTCATTATGAGCTGAAGTGCTTGGAGGGGAGCTGTGTGTCTCAATCATCTCTCACAAACAGTAATCAGTCAACCTGTGTGTGGAGCTCAACTGCTGTTAGTCCACAACCCCTGATTGCAAGATGAGTCAGTCAGACACAACAGACACAGCACTCTGAGTCCGCTGCCATCAACAACACGCTAAATTTAAAAAAAAACTGTAGGTTTCCACATTTATACCTGAGCAAATTTTGAGCAGTGAGGAACAACAGATTTATTTTTACCAGCGGAGCTATACGACTTTCTCCATGATGCTCCACTTGATACATATATAAACTTTATGTAATGGACACAGAGAAAAGAAAAGAAAAGAAGAAAAGAAAGATAAAAATGGAGAAAAAAGTTTTAAAGAGAAAGAAGCATAGAGAGAAGACAAGAAAGCAGTCTGCCTCTCCACCTGCAGAGAGAGAAAAAACCAAGAACAAATCCAAACAGAGCATTTAAACGAAGCGTTTCAGAAAGTGGCATTACGTTTATCACTGCTTGGAGCTTCTTAATGATACCGTCTGGCTCAGATGACTGTTTTTAACAGTGAATCACCTCACAGCAGCTCAAAGTGCAGCCGTGTAAAGATGTGTTGAGTCTGCACCCAAACACAGAGCAGCAGGTTGAGAAATCCTCGACAGAGTAAACTGTTGGCAGGAGGAGACTTTTTCAAACTTGTTTGTCTTTTTTTTAATATTATTATTAATAAGAAACCTGCTGTCTCTGTTTCACAATCACAAACCTGCTGTGAAGATTTTTTTTCTCTCTAAAGTCAAACAAGTAAAAATATTTGAAAATAACCAGAAATAGATGCAAACAAAATAAAAATAAAAAACTGTTGTTCGATCAGTCTCTCACAGTATGACAAGCTCTCACACTCAGAGAGGGAGAGAGAGAGCTGTGAATGACTCTCAGCTGCATCAACTTTTAGCACAATTATCTGTAAAACTGGTTGATTTAGAGCCATTTTCTTGGTATTTTAAGGTTGATCAACTGTGCCAGCCATCTTGATTTAATAGATGAACAAGCAGTGATTATTTGCTGAGTGTTTCATTTAAATCCATCTGAGATATCACAAGATATTTTGCTAACAGAYATGCCAGAGAGGTCCAGAAAAGTCGTCTCAAGATGTTGTCAGGAAGCAAGTTGTTTGTGCTTCATCAGGATCTGGTGTTTAAACATCTGTGGCTGCATCTAAAGTGGCCTCAGAACCCCTAAAATGCGACCTGAAACACCACCCCCCCCCCCCAACACACACACACACACAACATAAGAGCCAGCTGTCAAAATAACAACATGCTGAGTCAGCGGTGGTCTCAGCTCAGCCAGCTAAAACACGCTCTCAAAGCGAGGGATTCGTAAAGACGGTTTTCAGAACTGGTGGGAGGAAAATTTRTAAAACTGTGCAAAAGTTCAGATTATTAATCTACTCTGCTAACCACGAGCCAGATTATCAGCTACATTGATGCACCTGTCCAGGTGAAATGCTGCGATCTCTGCATTGTGTCTCTGGAAGTCAACGAAGTAGAAGAAGTCCTCTGGAGTCTCCTCTTCCCTCTGCTGTCTGGGACACACACACACACACACACACACACACACACACACACACACACACACA